GAACATTTACATAAAACCCAAACCCAAGTAGATCTACAAATAATTATTCATGGCTTGTTGGAGAGAAGAAAGAACACACACATTAAAATTCCAGACCAACCAGTTTGACTTTTTTGCTCAGGTTTAGAGTTCAATTAACGCAAAGAAGGGTCACAAACGTACCCTACTACAAACATCATTTTAGATTGTGGATATATAGGAGGGAATCTACATTACAATTTTAGCTCATATTTTAGTTTCTATTTTTTTTTTTTGTATATAACAAAATATCTTGATACAACTAACTGAAGTCTGGTTTAAAATAATAAATTTATCTTCAAGATGCTATATAAAATTTTAGCATTCGGTTAAAACTAATCTTTTTTAGCATCTTAATTTATGTATAAAAAAAAAGTTTCTATTTCACCTTTTTTAGCATCTTAATTTATGTATACAGCTAATTGAAGTTACATTTTTAATATAAATGAATCTTCAAGTGATGTTAATAAATGTGGATTGGATAAGAACTTAAATTATACTTCTACTATTCAAGATCAAAGAAAAACGGATTGACTAGATAATTCATCGACGATTGGTCTGAAAACTAAATAAGCTCGAAAGAGTTTCTTCACGGCAAGTTCGTCCGTACGTCAATGATATCCTTTTCAATTTTCAATTTTACCCCTCATCTGTACAGAAATTACGAAACTACCAATATATCCATACAGTATATACGTTTGATTTCTCTTGGCAATATCAGATAAAGGCCCATAAAGTATAGCGTGAAGCCCAAATAAGAAAAGATTCAGAAGAAAATCTGCGGTGTGTGACATCCTTATCCAGAACAGCCAATAGTCACTTGACACATCAGCAAGAACTGACCAAAACAGAATCCATTTCTGTGATAGCCAAAGCCACAAGATGATCTATGGCTAAATCATTTTAAAGACAAACTACGAAAAAAAAGGTTCACTAAAAAATCGAATCGCACAAGAAAATTTAAAGATTTTCTTTTAGTTTTGAAGTGAGAAAATGGCGAGCACAGTGATGACTACACTGCCTCAGTTCAATGGTCTTCGAGCCACCAAGATCTCTGCAGCTCCTGTTCAAGGCCTGGTTAGTCATTTCTCTTATTTTTTCTTAAATTTGATCTTTAGGTTATAAAATTGTGATTTGAACTTCTATATACACTTAGGATATATGATTTTATTGGTCAATCTTGTCGTTAC